GTTTATTCTAACCATTGCAATCCTTCATTAAGTTTTTGAGGTTGTAAATCTTTGAGGAGACCACTCATCATTCTCCCTTGGAGCATCTGGTGGATTCAAACCACTGACCTTTTAGTTAACAGTATGACATCTGTTGTACTACACCATCAAAGCTCCTTGGTGATATATGTGGTTGTTGTGTGCCATTGAGTAAGAACAAAACCATAGCTTAACCTCCAGCAGGTTTTCAGAGGCAGAAAATGACATGGGAAAAGACTGGTCATCTTTATCACACAGAACAGCTGGTAGATTTGAACCAGGTGCCTTTGGGATTGCAGCATAATTTCTATCTATAGCTCAACAAAATTTCAATCCAAACCAAAATGAAAGTCACTGTTGCTGAATTAGTTCTGATTTATAGTGACATTGTGGGACAGAATAGAACTGTTCTACAGAATTTCAGAGGGAGCTCTGGGGCTCTACAGTGCAGCAAGGAGCTGTACTGCAGATCTGAAGGCATGTGGTTCAAATCAAAGGGAAGATGGACAATCTCCTCCCATGTGCTTTACTACCTCTGAAAACCCTCTGGATCAGTTCTTAATGTGTGATACATAACAACAGGGTTACAGAGGCTGTGTGTAAATCTCTATGGGAGAAGATTGCCTCATCTTTCTTCTATGAAGTTGGTGGGTGGATTAGAACTGCTAATCATAATGTTAGCAGCCCAATTCTTAACTCACTACCCTACCAGGGCTCTGTATGAGAGTTAAGCAGAGATTTAATAGTAATTCTTTCAACAATAACCTAACTGCTGTCAGTGTTAACTGCATCAAGTAACAACAAACTTGATATTGTGGTTGTTAGGTAACAATGAGTTGGCAAATACTGTCCTAAACCTTAAAATTTTAAGCAAATATGAAATTCATTTCAAGCAAAAAGTTATTGCTGTTCTTATTATTATACTATTATTATTTACTATTTTTTCTATTGCAAAAGTGATGTCTGAAAATATCACTAGCTGTAATGCTAAAAAAGCAAAAAGACATCAATTAAACTTGGGATTTAAGTGTCTTTCCCAATTTAGTAGTACCAAAAGAAGGCAACAACACATGGGATTTTTATCAAATCTTAGACAAATAAAAAACAAAAAGGAAATTCCTCTTCAATTATCTGAAGCAAGCAGCTGTAAGGGAATCCATTCCGCCTTGGTGACTCACCCTCTTACTGTCGACTCCCTCACATTTTCCACTGGAACACATGGCTGCATATAAACAAACTCTTCAGCACACTCAACTTCTTCCCTCTCCCTCCTAGGCCTGAAACAGGGCCTGATTAAGACACGTGAGAGGCCTCAACATTGATAACCTATATGATATCCCATTCTCTACTTCCTTAAATATTCAGGCGGGATATGAGCTATAAATGTGTGTGTGTGTGTGTGTGTGTGTGTGTGTGTGTTGCTGTACGGGAATGTGTTTGTGTCTTAGGTATTCATAAAGTAACTTTATTTAAAACAGGAATATAGTATTAGTGATTAAACACCAAAGTAGAATATGCCATTTTAACAGAATGAGATGACCAGGTTTACAAAATTTTTAGTTGACTTGGGATTTAAGATTTTTCTATATATCACATTTTCTCCACCATTCATATATTATTGTGCCATACTGTGGTGGTTTGTGAGTTATGACGATACCAGAAACTATGCCACAAGTATTTAAAATGTCAACAGAAGTATCCATGGTGGACAGGTTTAAGTGGAGAAGCAGGATCATCGCTCCACTTCTGAAATTACTGCCAGGGAAAACCTTAAGAACTGCAAAGGAACATTGTTTATTATATTGTGTCGGAAGATGAGACTCTCAGGCTGGAAGGTACTCAAAATATGAATGAGGAAGAGTTGCCTCCTTAAATGTAGTAACAAGAATGGAGTGAAGCTTTCAGGAATTTAATTGCTGATAGATGATCTTCTTTGCTTTGACCTTCTTTGGGGTGCAACACAATGAAAATAAATAGCCATAAACATTCATTAATAATCATAGTGTAAAAATATGAACTGGGGGAAATTGGAACTTGATATGATATATAAATGGTACAGAATACCTAAAAATCAATATACTAGAAAAATGTGAGACTAAAAAGAACCACTTACTGCTGTCCATTCTAATTTCAATTATCATACAGTCTACTATCTCAGGAATAGTACCATTCTAATCCTAAAAAAAAAAAAACCAAAAATATCTTTACTGAAATAAAGTGCTTGTATAGATAAAATAATATCCATATACATATAAGGATTATCTTTCAATATGATACTTATTCAAATTTAAGCACCAATCACTAAAGCCAAACTGGAAGAAATCAGAAATTTCTACCTACTTGGTAGTTTGAAATTGATCAAACATGTAA